TAGAAGGCTTCCAGCCGTACATGTTTGAGCCCTTGCCTCGCAACGCTGCCAGTTCTGTTAGCTCTACGCCTGCCGAAGACACAGACGTCCATCCCCGTGAACACTGGGACGCAACTCAATGGGAAAGGAAAGGATTCTGGTTTCAACTGTTGCGTATATTAGCTGCGAAATACTGTATAAATCAAGAGGCTACGACGGAAATAATTTGATTGATAGCTGACCATTGATATATGATTGGCTAAATTTAGGTGTTCATAACTAACTGGCCTGAATAAGGTAACGAAAAAACCCCACAGAGTTTAAGACAGGATTTAAAAACAAAATAAAAATGCTCTAACTTTTGGGACAATGAAGAGTACATTTATATACATGTTTAAGCCAGAAATATTTGAAATTTAAATATGATTTCCCTACAACTTTAAAGTAACAGATTATAATTAAAATGTATCCAGACCTATACTGGTTGTTGATTTTCTTTATTTGGACTCTGCTGATTTTTAATTGGTTAGCCCTGCTGCATACTAACCAACTACAGAACCCAGCCAGCGAGACAGAAAACAAAATGTTCAAAACCATTAATTGCAACCCATACATTAAAATCACAGCTAAAGATTGGTGACAAATTCAGGTAGTTTGTTAGTAAAACAACATCCTGACAAACATAAAGCAGTTTTGGTTGTTTATTGCTGTTGGATCTTCATTTTAGGACAAGGAAAACCTGAGATGCTGAAATGTTCCATTTAATTTAGCTTGTTTATGTGTGGATAGTTTTCTGTTTAGTTATGGTGTTGTGAAAGCTTTAGAAATAACAATGTTTACACAAGGCAGGGATGGAAAACCGCTTAAATCTGGACGGTTATTTATTTTGCTGACTGGTTCTGGGTTCCTGTGTGGGCAGAACACTTTTCTCACATTTAAATCTATAAAGTCTGTCTGGTACAGAACCCTGGAGGTAGAGGCCGGCCCCACTGGGAGCCTGGAAGGAAGCCTGGTTATAGACAAAGCAAGGATGGAAGGATTTCCTCTATAACTCATCTAATACAACCAGATAACTGCAATAAAATGAAAAAAGTAAATAAACACACACTCACACCATTCAGTAACTTTATTTAAATCAAGTTATTTTTAGTTAGAAAGTTAAAAAAGCAAATCAATTAGAAGCTATGAAAAGCCTGTTTACATGTCTGGCCTCTGGGATAAAGTGTGGGACTGAACTTTGGTAACCGCCAGCCAGCCTGTTTCAGGAAATGGCAGCTATATTTAGAGCTGGTTTTTCGGTTCGACTCTAAAAGCCGACGGACTCCTTTTTCTCTCAGACTCAGACTCACTCAAGCTCAGATGATCAACCAGAGTTTAGTGAAAACCCTTTGTGGTTTTCTTTGTGGAAGAAAATGCATCATTGCTTCTCTGAACGCTACGTCAATATTTTGGAACCCACAATTTAAAGATCCCAACAAAAAAGTTTTAATTATTCTTTATTTAATTAGAATTAAATTAAAATAATTATAAATAATATAGAAAAAAAAACAACCCAAAATTGTACTTTATTAGAATTTAAAGTCGTAGGGAAACGGATGTTCCAATCGTTTCATTTCCCGAATTCTCCCAAGTGGTGGACGACTTTACATGAGTGAATAAAGTGAATGTGATTGGTTGTTTATCAAGAGGGCGGGATTGTTGTGGCGGAAGGTTTGCAAGCAAGTTTGGTTGTGGCCGGTTTGTCGGAAGCATCGTTGCTAACCAGTTAGCATCTTAGTGCTAGTAGGTTCCCAATGGGAAATTCCATTGGGACCAAGTAGCACTAAATTGGTGACTTAGAAACAACGCTGTCAAGGAACGCTATGGACAGAGGAAACATGCAAGAGGAGGAGAGTTTAGTGTCGGAGGTCGTGGATGAGTCTCCTCCGTCATCCATTTTTTATTTAGAGGAGGAAAGCGGGGACGAAGATGTTGTGGAAGAGGACGCCAGGGCGGCAGAAGCTTGGTTTGGTGTAGAAGGCTTCCAGCCGTACATGTTTGAGCCCTTGCCTCGCAACGCTGCCAGTTCTGTTAGCTCTACGCCTGCTGAAGACACAGAGGAGAACTCTCTCTCCTCGCAAAGCATTCCAGAATATATCTGCTCGTCTAGTGACCATAGGTGATCACTACTATTCAAGGTGCATTGTTGGAAATGTAGTCCACTACATTTTTATCCACTAGATGTTCGGACACTTATTTAAAGATGGTGTAACCCCTATATAGCGATTAGGGCAGACATTCGGACACTGCCTGGAAAATGTAAAGACTACAATTAATAAATCTTAATCTGAATTTGAAAAAAAATATACTGGATATAAAATCTTTAAAAAAAATTTCTATGAAAATTTCGAAAACTTTAAAAAAATAATAAAAAAAAAACAAAAAATATGAACACTAAATAAAAAAACTTAAAAAAACAAAACAGCAAAGTTCCTCTCATGACCCTTTTTTTTTATTAAAACGTTTCCAACCTTTTATTCCAAAACATTTTTTTTATCCAATTTTCATTTACAAAACATGTACTTTGCTTCAGCAATGGAACAAAGTTAACTTCATACATTTTCAGGTTTTTATTTGTACAGTTAATGAAACAATTCCTAACTATTCACTGCTTCATGTTGGTCTGTGTCATAAAATCCCAACTAAACACTTTAATGTTAGTAGTTGGAATGAAGGATAAAATAATCCTGAAGGTTGTTTGAGGCCCATTAAATGTTGAAAGAGCTCTAAGAAGCTGAAAAACCTCACCAGCGTGCAGAAGACGCATTGGCACTGTGTGATGGTGGTCATCTGCTCCAGTGGGAACTCTCCAAGGCACAGTTTACACGAGACCAGGGGGTCCACGGCCAGCTCCCATGTAGGGCGGTACCTCGCTGTGGTCATCTTTACCGCCACAGAGCTGAGACAAAACCAAAGCCACAGTTAATTCAAACACAAAAAGCTTGAGGAAATAAAAACAGGGTATGCAGGCTCACATTTTACAAGACATAAAGACTTCCTTTGACACAATTAGCTTGACCACAGCAGCTCAGGCTTAAAAAATGCACTGTGATGCTGTCAAAAGAGGAGGCAGGGACACCAACGGGCCTCTACTATGCAGAATGACACCGGTTTGTTTGGATAAACACCCAACATCAGCCCAGTTCAGCTTCATTTTAACAACACGCTTTTTGACATTAAAGAAGAAAGGCATTGGAAGATCGTCTGGCCATCTACACCAGCCTTCTAAGCCTCCAATTAAAATGTTTTCTGCATTAAGTAAGATGGTTTCTGCACAAGGAAAAAAAAACAAAAAAAACATGCACGCCTTTCTGTTTCTTTTCTGAGGTTATTTTAGGCCGCCTTGTCTCCCTGCAGCTGAGAGCAAACAGCTCCTACTCTGCTGTTTACAGGAAGTGCTTCGGCACTCACAGCGTTAGCACAGCCGACCTCTCCCCTTGCTGCTTAGCAACCCGCTGGAGGAGGATTTTTAAGCTGGAGGAAGCAGTTAAGGAAGAAAGAGTCTGATCACCGCTGATCACTCTGCTTTAGTTTTCCTGTCGGCAGAGGAGGACAAAGAATAAACAGAGAATTGGGTTCAAGAGTTAATGTGAGCGCTCTGCGGACTCGTGCTGCAGCCATGTGAAAACCCGCAAGGAAGGAGGGAAAAGGAGAGTTGCTATGTTTTGATTTTGCAGACATTTATCTTTAAATCACTTTTCCTAGCCCCTGGAATCTTCCAGGCAGGAGGAAATCTGCAGGATGTTGCATCCATCAACGATCCACCACACTTAGACCTTAACATCTAACAGATGAGTCTATAAAGGAAACCATTAATGCAAAGATAGCTTACTGTTCATTTATACCTGAAAAAAACTCATCACATTGAGGATTCATCAAGATTTCAAACAGAACAGGTGAGTCAATGATTTCTCCCTGTCATGAAGAGTCTTGACAAAATTCACACTAGATTTGAATAAAAAAAATGAGTAAATGGGGCTGGAAAATATAGACAAACCTTATATCATGATATATTTACCATATTGTGGTTGATATGACGTAGTTAATAATATGGATATACACAACATTAAAGTGTCAGATAAATAATAATACCAGATCTGCTTGGGGTCCCGCCCCTTATTATGACATCAACATATGGCAACTCCACTCGGTCAAACTGTATTGCACCCATTTCTTAAGGATCAAATCTCTTTTGGGGCTCAACATATTATTACCTGTATATGCTATTATTTTACATTTCATCAGCGATCTAAAGTAGCCGAAAGTACAAAACAATCATTGTCAGTCTAGAAGGGGAGTACTGCGTTCTAAGACTGAGCTCTGCCATTTAACGAGGTGACAAAAAAAAGTCTGAGCTTATTTTAATTCCTTTTTTGAGATCTGAGGGCAGGGGAGGAAAAATGGAACGTCTTAAAAAATCACTTTTAAAGAGATTTTAGACAAATTAAACAAGTTATTCTACAACAAACGGTTGTTGTTGACACAAATTTAAAAGTAGTTTGGCTTTATATGGCTAACTGAACGAGCTAAAAAAGGCTAACCTGTTAGCTACTGAGCACAGCTAGCCACAGCGCTACCCCCTTCATATCCTGATCCAACAGTTACTTTGTTCAGCATAAACAGATTTTTTTCAGTTTAGTTATCGATCAGCAAGCCAGGCTACTCTTGCTGAAACCAGTCGGGAGAAAAGCAAAAACATCTTTTCCTCTGAGAAAAGCCTCCAGAGCAGTGTTTTGCTCTTCTTTCAGTGAAGAAATACTCTGTAATTCC